GAAAAAAAAAAAAAAAAAAAAAAAAAAAAAAAAAAAAAAGAAATCTATAGTCAGATTGCTTGATTTTCAATTTCCACTCCACTTACTAGTGATATAATCTTAGGACTTTTTCTTAATCTCTTCGTGCTTCAGTTTCCTCATCTGTGTAATGTGAATAGTAACATTACTCCTACTCTAGGGCTATTGTAAGGATTAAATGAGATAATTCATATGAAGAACACAACACAGGACCTAGCACACAGTGATGGGTGTGGCTATCATGAATCCCAGGGCCAAAGTAGCTCACTCACCAAGATGAGTGTCCATCACCTTTGCACAGTATTTACACATGGCATCCAGGTCATTCAATTGTCCTTGAAGGAAGGAAATTTGGGCTTCTAATTCTTCTTCCTAAAATGAAGGCGATGAAGATACAGAAATTTAAAAAATTCAGATAAAATCCCTAAAGTGCTCTAAATATTTACTATTTTTAAAAAGGAACAATCTCTTTTTAAACATACACGAAACAGAAAATAATCAAAAACAAACCCACCACTGCCTCCACCAATAAAAGAGAAAAAGGGTAAAATAGAGATTTTAAAAACTTGGACTTTTTGCACCTGAATTCTAGCTTTGTGCCACGTGTAAAAGTTTACACATACCACCGTGTATTAAAAAAAATACATAAAATTATTTTCAATAAATATTGAACAACACAAATTAGGAGGGTAAATTGGATTTTGGTGGACCATACTTCCTAGGCAGCTGGTATAAAAACACTACATTTTTTTCTCACATGCATTTGGGAAACCAAAAATTTCCATTTATATAGGAGAAATCTCATCATTTTCTAGACAACGTTAATCTCTTAAAATGTGAGATTTCCCAAAGCACTTGGAAAAGTTTAACACCAACAACCGATAACTAGCTGCTCTTACATTTCCTTTCTTGACACAAGAGCATTTTACTTATTTGTTTCTAGGAAAAAGTAGGCTGGGTTGAGTAATTATCTAAGTGGTAAAAGACAATCTAATTGTTACATAAGGAAAAAATAATACATGTAAATACTTTCCCTAGGAAATTAAAAAGATTATGGGAGTTTTTCTCAGAGAAAGAGAATCATCCTCATTTAGGATATTTTAAACCAAGTTAGCTAGAATACAAAGAAAGGATGTTGCCAGAACTGGAATAGGCTAGAAAATTGATTTTCTAGTTTCAGATGCTTGTCCTTTCACATAATAGTCCTCTGTGTCATTAAAAAGATGGGAAGAAATACATATCGAGATATTCTTTTTCTCAAGGAATAAATATAATTTGACTTGTACGTGGAAATTAATAATTGAAAAGGTTACTTGTAGGTGTAGTCTATTTTAACACTACACATACGCAGCCCTGAAAAGTACTGTTTGTGACTGCTGCTAGAAGAACCAGCCCTTAGGAATACACACTGAAAGGCCTGACTCAGAAAACAGACATAGCGGTAGCTCTAAAACAAATTATTGTGAAATGTCTACCGCAGGATTACGCAAGCATTGACCATGTTCTTTACATGTCCTACAAAGTGCAGACGACTCTCCTCCCATATTCAAATAAGGACAAAATGCCATCAGATGAAGCTCAGCCAAAGGATGACCACAGGGGACTGTGCGTAGGTGGTGCCTCACTCTTCAGCTGGGCGTTAAGGTGGAAAAGGATGGGGTGTGTCAAGGTGTCTGTCTACTCCTTTTTCTCCGTTTCCACAGAGGCTTGAATTTCCCTGATCTAACAGGAAATGGTAGGAATTAGAGACAGAAGGCGACATCTGTTGGTTAACTATGGTTGTGGTTAGTCTCCAGATGGCCACCATCAATTCCCTCCCTCCCTGAGTGTGCATGTTGCTCCACTCATTAAGAGGTAACATGTATTTCCCCTCCCACTGAATCTGGACTGGCCTTGTGACTTTCCTTGATCCAGAGAATACGCCAGAAGTCTAACTATACCAATTTTGGGCTAGTTTAAGACACTGCCAACTTGAAGATAGCTACCATGAAGCCATCCAAGTAAGTGACCCAGTCAATACCATGTGGAACAGAACAACAGCCTAACCAAGCCCTGTCCGAATTCTAGACCCACAGACCTATGAGAAACAATAGCATTGTTGTTTCAAGGTACTAAATTTTGGAATGGTTTGTTATCCAGCAATAAATAACTGAAATAGAATGGAAAGAACACTAAATTGGCATATGGCATGAGGAAACCTAAGTTCTACTCCTGGTCCTGCCATTAACAAGTCATGTGACCTTAAGTCATCCTCTACCCACTCTGGGCCTAAATTCAGCACTCTCTAAAGAATGGAAAAGTCAGAAACTTTGCTCCTAAAGAGCTTACAAACTGGTAGTTAGAATAAGACAGATAAATTAGTAGAGTATGAGCTAGAGTACACGAAAATACATTGCTCTGGGAACCCTGAGCCCGGCCTCCTGTCTCCTCTGCTGAACAAGCCAACTTTTCAGTTTGTTATAGACACAAACCCAACTGGATGAGTCTAGAACAATACGGCAGCCAGGGTTTGGCAGTCTTTTAAAAGAAGAGGGCCCAGCCGTGGCCTCTGTTTCCCCTTGCATGTGGCTACCAGTTGGGGTGCTGACAGTCCAGAGTGAACAAAGGGCAGTAGGAATGCAATGCTTCCAGGCTTAGACACATCTTCTCTATTTATTATACACATTAGTTTAATTTGGATCAGCAACCGCTTCTTTTAAAATATAAAAGCCCTTGAAAGCTTTAACAGCCTGTAGTCATTCCTACTGAAGTGGATTTATTTTATTAACTTTGCTTTCCTTTTAGAAATGAAAGCAAACTGGTAGAGAAGAACTTCAGAAGCCACACTTAGAGAAGATGGGCGCAGCCTCTTGGCATGAGGTGTTGGACAGCTGGAGAGAAGCATGTAGCTCAAAGAGGGCCTCTTCCTCAAAACCCTTTACTGCTCTAGCAGGAACATCGTTGTAGTAAAGACTGTGATGACAGCGAAGCCCTCTCAGTTATGCACTGCATGGGGAAGCCCTGAGATCAAGGCGGCCCAGGCAGGGCACTTGCTAGGTGAATGTATGGAGATATGAAAACAATTGTCCAAGTTTGCAATTTTGCTTAGGACTCTGGTGGCAGCAACTGAAGAGCGTCTTGTAAACCTAAAACGCAAGTATATCTCCATACAAATAGAATGTGTTTGTCTCAACTGTAGAAAAAGGCAACTTTCATTTGTTTAAACCTTTTTTTTCAAAGGAAAGCTTATACAAGAGCCCGATATATGAGATAAAGGAGGACTACTTACTCTGCCTGAAGGTTGAAGGGCTTTGAATCTCTTCCACTTGGAAGTCTGAAATCCAGTGTATTATCCCTTTAGAGTTTGCCTAATCTTAAAACATTCCTAAACCCTTCAACTATCACTCGAACTTTATAAATAGAAATGGAATCACTTGGAGGCAAAAGGGTGGCTTGTCATGTATTCCTCACAATATTACATTAATTACAGATAAAAGAAAAACCAAGAATCAAACTTCTAAAATTGTGGGAACTGACTTTACATTCTATCATAGCTTCTCATGCTCCACTCTCCCCCCAGCTAACAACGCTCTAAACATTGACAGCTTTAGTCATTTGTTTTCAATAAACTGCTCCTCTGTAATCCAAAACAAATGCCTGGCAAATTACCTTGAGGTTTTATGAAAGCAACCAGTTAGTTTAATGTTTATGTGTAAATAAGACACGGAAAAAAGTATTTACTTTTGCATATATGTTTTGCCTTCCATTGCAGGAGGGAGTGGGGCATGATGGAGTTCTGAAGTAAATACACCTGGTTGCAAATCTCATTTTTACCAGTTACTAGTTGTATAATCTTGGACAATTTTCTTAATTTTTTGGTCCGCTCACCCTCACCTGGCAGGATTGGTGAGAGAATGAAATCAGAACATCTGGACAGCACAGTGTCTGGCAGAACAGATACTCAAATAAAGGTAATTTGTTAATATTTTATTTTAAAAAATTTTTACAGTCCGGTTAAAACAATAAAATGGATTTTAAGTACAAGGGTTTATGATTCACTGTTGGAAAACACTGGCTTCTGGTTTTAAAACCTTTATGTGGCTTAGCCCAGAAAGATTAATTAGGGCTTAAGAACCCACTGCTGTCTCAAGTTCCGGCTAGTAAAATAATGAGCAAGGCAAGACACTGACAGAGAATCCTGCAGTTGGGCCCCATGCAGTCTACAGTGTGTGGCAACACCAACGTGCTTGGTAGCCCCGTGGGGAAGGACCGGAGGAACAGGGCCACTCTATCAGAAAAGAAAACTAGCTAGCATCTAACCCTTTCATAGGGAATATGCCAGACACTGAGTTGTGCATATATTCATACTTTAATGCTCACAACAAACCTATAAGGAAGGGTCTTTCATTGTCTCCCATGTGCAACGGGGTCTACTCTGTGAGGCACACTGTCTGGCAGCGTGTGCTAAGGTTTAGACAGCTATTTGAGAACCCAAATCCTTGGTCCACTACTCCCATTCCTTCCCTATATGAGAAATGAATAACCCCATAACTCAGTTTCTTTTAACACAGATTCACCAATTATAATGTTGAGTCCTAATCCCAAATGCTTACAAAATATTTTCCTTCAAAAACATTCAGGTATGATTGGCTGTGTTCTGCTTTGTTGTTTGCTGAATGATTTTTGTTTTGACTGAATAATCTGAAGAAATGGGTTTCTGAATTTGCTTTTTAAAAAGAATGGTGTTTCTACCACCATTCCCCCCCTAACAGCTGATGTGTCATTAGCCTTCCATTCAAATATTATACATCTCAGCTGTTTAAATTTATAATATATGGATTTTATATATCAATTTTATGAAATACATCAGTGTCTATCATTTCTTGGTTAAAACTAGAATAAGCTTTTGTAGTTTATTATTTATTCTCTTATTAATTTATTCAACAAATATATTCATTTGCATGTTAGGCCTTGTGGGAAATACAGTAATGAATGAGACATGGACTCTGACCTCTAAAAGTTTAGAGGAAGATAAGACCTGTACATAAATCCAAGACCCTTTCACAATTCTGGCAAGGGAAGATGACTTCCAATTTGTGGATGTGGAAATAAAAGCAGGTTTTCTGGAAGAGGTAGTATTTTTGAGGGATCTTGAAGGAGGAGGAGGACTTGGCTCAGAAGAAATGACAGAGAAGGATGTTTTTGGAGGCAGGGACCCAGTAAACAAAGGAGTGGAGACAGGAAAGTGTGGTATCTGGGCAAAGAACCAGTCATTGAGTTGAGCCAGAGCACGGGGAATAAAGGAGCTGAGGTGTGGCAGGAAGGCTTCCCTTCCCTTCCCATTCATCCCTATTAATTTTTATTTCAGATAATTATGTTTCAG